CCCTGTGCCCCCAGGCCCTGCCCGGCTCCCCGGCACTCACCTGGAGCTGTAGCTGCTGCCGTCCCCCCAGTGCAGGCGCTCGCCCCGTCTGCGCAGCCCGATCCAGTAATCGACGTTCCCGCGGAGGCGGAAGAGCAAATCCTGCCCAGGAGAGAGGAGTGGGAGCTGCCCTGGCCCCTCGGGGGGACCCGTGCCCGGGGCTGCCCCCGCACGCTGGTGCTCCTTCCCTGCAAGGCCCCGGCACAGGGCTGCACCCCCAGCCCTACGAGCACCCAGCCCGGCCCAGGAGCACCCCCAGGCTCCCCTCAGCCACCCCACACCGCCCGCAGCCCCTCACTCACCATGGCCTCATCCTGGAGAATGGCCAGGGAGGCCCCGAGCTCCGAGCACCGTTCCTGAGCCTGATCCCAGCTCCTGTAATCCCTTGACAAGTAGTAGCAGACCCCATTGTATCCAACCCAGCCATGGGGACAGCTCAGAACCAACTGCGGAGTCACAGGTGTGACTGGAACCTGTGGTGCTGGAGGGGGAAGAGGAGAAGGTCTGAGGATTCCCCTCTGCAGGGAGCAGGGACCCCGCTCTGCCCCGAGGGGCTGGGCCCAGCCTGCTGCCCCTCCCTTACCTGACTGCACAGCCAAGGCCACCCCCAAAGCCAGCACCAGCACCAGGAGCAGCAGAATCAGCACTGCTGTGAGCACGGGACGGGAGCTGAACCATTCACCTGGAGCAGGAAAGAGCTGCTGGCTGCCAGAACCAGACCCGGCCCTGCAATCTGCTCACCCCGTGCCCAGGGAGCACAGCAGGGACCCCTCAGCCACTGTGCCCCTCACTCAGCTGGCAGCCAGAGAGCCAAGAGCCTGGGCACAGGCAGGGACACAGCTGTGGGGACAGCCAGGGACACAGCTGTGGGGACAGGCTGCAGCAGGAGAACTGCACAGCCTTGGGGGCAGCTGGGGCTCTTGGTTCCAGCCACTGACGGGGCCCAGCAGAACTCGAGGCCTCTTCCAGACATCGGGAAACAGCCACACACCTGCCAGCGCTGGGCGTGGGAGGTGACACTGTCCTCTGCCTAGAGGCCACAGGGTGGCCCTGCACTCACCCAGGTATCTTCTGAGGATCCTTTTTTGTTCATTGTTGGTTGCTGATGTGCCCTGTGGACCCAGGGGCTCCCTCACACTCCCACCACTGTTGCAGAATCCATTCTCCACATCTTCACACTCACAAATGGCACCTCCCTGCTCATGCCAAGTGGCTTCTTGTGCCCCAGGCAGGTGTGGAACCCTGGCTGCTGGTCCCTCCTGGAGATGCTGGAGCTTCTTCACAACTCCATGAGTGGAGCAGAATTCACCCTTCTCCAGCACACAGCCCTCATCTCTCTGCCAGGAACAAACAGCACCTTGCTCCCGAGACATCAGGAGTGCTGACAAAGCCTCTCGGAGATCGCCTCGGGAACAGCTTTACACCCGCGGTGGTGGCACCCTGAAAGGGACACGATGCGAGGTCACTGCTGGTGCCGGCCCCGCGGGACACCGAGGCTCAGCAGGGCGGTGCCGGCTCTGG